GGGAGAACGAGCACTGGACGGCCGACTTCGTCTGCCAATGCATTGGTTCCTTGGACAGACCCAAATGGGGAAATACACCAGGGCGAGAGAATTACAAGGGCATCATCTGGCATACTGCACACTGGAACCAAAACTACGACTTAACCGGGAAGAAGGTGGCAATCATCGGCTGTGGACCTAGTGCAGCCCAAATCATCCCCGAGATCGTTGACAAAACCAAAAGTCTCACTGTATATATGCGCACTCCCCCGGTTTGTGTTGCCAGAAACGATTTTGCTTACTCATGGTATGTTCCATTGACAGTTGTAGGGGATAATGCTGATGTTGCTGTAGGTTGTTTCAGTTCGCCATCAAATGGATTCCGCTTTTCGCTTGGTTCATCCGTATGCGCATGAACCTTCGAATGATGAGATATGGCCGTAAAATGGCCACAGACGGAGATCCACTAAACGATGCAATGACCAAACAAGCCGTCAAGTTTATGGAATCTCAAATCGCGGATCCAGTGCTTCGTGAGAAAGTCCGTCCCTATTCTAAATGTGAGATGCTTGATCACAATGTTCGCAATTGAATACTGACACACCGCTCATAGATTATTGCAAGAGACCTTTGAGGCTAGATAATTTCTACTCCTCCCTGGCAAAAACTAATTGTACAGTCCTCAGAGAGAACCTGGTTCGCTACAGTGAGGATGGTGTCGTGTCTACTGACAAAGAGACGGGAGAAGAGGTTGAGCGCAAGTACGATGTTATTATCTTCGGAACAGGCTTCAACGTTGCACAATTTCTTGAGCACGAGAAGGTTATAGGGCTAAATGGCCTAGACCTACAGAAGAAGTGGAATGCCCACCCTGAGGCTTTGTACGGTCTAGCATCCAACCAATTTCCGAATATGTTCTATTGCTTCGGACCCAATTCAGCTCATGTCTGGTCCTCACAGCAGGATAATTGGGAGCAACAAGGACGACTGGCTGCAAAGTTCATCAAAGAAGCGGTGTTGCAAGCTCGAAAAGGCATAAAGCTCGCAGTACATCCAAAGCTGGAGATTGAGCGACAGTACAACGATGAGGTGCAACGTGGTCAGTCAGGAACTTTCGTTTGGGCGCGGCCTGACTGCGTTACATATTACAAGAACGATGCGGGATGGAACACTTATACTATGCCGTGGACTTGGTGGCAATTTAGGAGGATGTTGAGCAAAATTCGATGGGAGCAGTGGGAGGTTATCAAGGCCCCGCTTGCTAAGGTGAATGCCCAAGAGGACTAGATCTTTGCCATGATTAGTCGCAAACCGTGTATGAGGCAGATCTGTCTCTACACATGACATCTCATCTCTATATAATTACCCACATACAGCAATATTACACCGTCACCCTCTGGGATAAAACTCCCCTACATATATCACTACATTGACCCATTTCGCAGTCACCTATGGTAGTTTTTCCTTGCCGGTCATCACCCCATGGTTGAATTCTCGAAAATTGGGCTATTGAGATGCTCTACTTGAGGACGCTGCCCAAGTTTCCTCACGCAGCATATTCTCACTAGTATTTGTTGAAGTGTACTATAGTTTCTCTGAATGCCCTCTCGTATTGTTGTCGTATGCCGTAATCTTGTGTATTGGGCCTCGCAGCGAATCCATGTCCCATTCCCGGGTAAATGGTTAAATCGAAAGAGACGCCCTCCACCAATCCTTTAGATGCCCAGAGATTGAGATCATCCGGGAGCGTAGCAGGTACCATGTCATCGTGTTCTGCTAAGCCAATGTACAAAGGAGCCTTGATATTGGACAGGTCAGCGCACTCAACAAAACTTGGATGGAAAGCTGCTGCGGCTCGTATTGATTGTTTGGCCATTCTCAAAACATGCTTCCCTCCAAAGCAATAGCCAACTCCAAATATTGGATTGTCCTTGTACAGACTGTGCAGTGCAATCACTAGTTCATCAAGGAGCCATGATACACGCGCCGGACTGTGTCGCCTATGCCAGGCGCCAAAGTCAAGATCTCGCAGCTTTTGCTTGTCCTCTTCAGTCCACGGCTGTTCCTCTACGGACAGCCTGCGGTCTTGTTTCAATATCTGAATTGGTAATGCATCCCCTATTATGAGTAAGTCAAGCATAGCTCTGTTATAGGGGCGTTTTATTCTTCACCTTCGAAGTAGTCAGGGAGGATGACGTGAAATCCTTCTTGAGAAAAGTTGTCGGCAAGAATTATATTATGGTTTGCAAGTCCAAACCCATCGGGTAGTAACAGTAACAATCCTCGGCTTGGGGTCGTTATTGTTAAGTCGGCAACACTATATACCTCAATCTGTCCAATCCTTTCTATATTTCCACGTCCAACGTAGGTATCTGTTGATAGGAGATTGTTAGATACAAGTTCAGTATCCGGGGAGGTTTCCATAGCTGCAGAGGGGTTATTGACAAGGCTGAAGATATGCACCCAACAATCTTACGCACCCGAGGCAGCTTTCCCGGCCTGGCAACAATTTGAACCTGCCATTCGACAATTCATCCAGCACTACAAAGTGTGTTGCCTAGCAAACAATATCACAGCAGCCGAGCGTCGAATATCAAGCTGCGAGTTTCCGGAGAATGGGTGTCTTCGGAGTTCGGTGTGGTCAGGATATCCCGCGGCCTTGTGGAGTGAATTGGGGAATCGATGAGCGATGGTGACTTCCCACGTCGGTCATGTGCAGGCATGGGGTTAAGGCTACTGATATCCCGAGAGGCTAACGAGAGAGCCTTAGCAGGTGGAAAGGTATATCAGTATCAAATTATGTGGCGATTTCTCTTAGTGCTTTGAACAGATTCACCGACGAAACACTCAAACCGTTACCATGTTTCCAGTATACGCATCGATACTTTGTGTAATTCTACTATTGTTATGGAATATTTCAAGATCAAGACGCAGACATCCGCTTCCTCCAGGGCCTAAGGGTAGATGGCTCTTGGGTATGACACTAGATATACCGAGTGGCAAGCCGTGGGAATATCTAACAGCCTGGGCTCAGTAAGTGTCTGGGAATGACAAACAAACGATCAGACCACTAACCATTACGGCAATCAGAGAATATGGGCCTATAATACATTACAGAGTAGGTATGCAGGACTTCATTGTCGTTAGTGATGGACATATTGCACGGGAGCTCTTGGATAAAAGGCAAGGCAACACCTGCCCAACAACATCGACATTGTTGACAGTATGGCCAGATCGGGACATTATTCTTCAAGGCCGCCATCAGAAGTGGGAGATATTGTTAGTGGAGGCATGAGAAGCGTACTCATGCCGTACGGCAACCATTGGCGGGTTTGTTGACACACATAGATGATTGGTGATGTCTTAAACTAACGGACGATCAGAAAGTTCGCCGCGTCTTCGCCAATGTTTTGACGGCGAGGAAATGTGACACCTATCTGCGAATTCAACAGACGGAAGCGTTGCTCACCATCTCCAGAATCGCCAGCGATCCAGAGATCTTTGTGGAAGAAATTCACCGGTATGCACTTTCGGTTGCCCGTAGCATTGCCTTTGGTAAGCGGGTGGACTCTTCAGCAGATCCGTTTGCCGTCAAAGTCAAAAAGCTGATGGAGCATTTCGCTGCTGCAATGACTCCCGGCAAGTACATGTTCGAGTCGATACCCAGTCTTCGCCTACTCCCTAGGTTTATGCAACCTTGGCTGCCCGAACTTGAACATATTCGAGACTATGAGAACGAGTTCAGCCTTCAGAATTACCGCGACGCGCTAGCAGATGCGGACAAGCACCCTGATCGACCTTGCATCGCCCGCGACATTCGGAAAGAGATTGTCCAGACACGTGAGCAGGTCGACGACCTGCAGGCGGCTACAACTTGCATGGAAATACTTGGGGCAGGATCTGATACAACCGCCACATCTCTGTTATTCGTCATTCTGGCGTGCTTGTCTCATCCTGGGGCCGTCCAAAAGGCACACGAAGAGCTCGACCGAGTTGTTGGTCAAGATCGTTTCCCGACTTGGGAAGATGAGGCACAACTGCCGTATATCAGAGCCGTCATCAAAGAGCAGCACAGGTGGAGGACCATTGCTCCAATGAGTGAGTTACAACGCTCTCCTCTCTTTGAATCGTTCGTTAATCAACCGCATACTAGGTTTTGCACACTGGTGTGATGTGGAAGATACCTTGAATGGCTACCGAATACCTAAAAATTCTGTTGTCCGTATCAACACCTGGTTAGTGAGCTGAGAGCTTTCGGAGATTATCTGGTCGCATTTCTCACTACTTCAGGGCTATGCATATGGATTCAAATCGATATCCTGAGCCGAACCAATTCCGACCAGAAAGGTTCCTTTCCCATACCCTGTCGGCACCTGCCTACGCCAATCAGCCAGACGTGGACGCGAGAGACCATTTTTCTTACGGTGGAGGTAAAAGAATATGCGTCGGCATACATCTTGCTGAGAGAAGCTTGTTTACCATGACAAGTAGACTGCTCCATGCGTTCGACATTGAACCCGCTTTGGACGCCAATGGGAAACCCATTCCGGTTGATGTAGAGGGTACGAGAAATGGGCTTATAATGTCTCCAAATCCATTCAAAGCAAGATTTGTCGTGCGAAGTGAAAAACTCGCGGAACTGCTAGAAAAGGAGTGTAATGAAAATCTCAAGATGGCAGGTGATAGTTGGAGCTAGTTGCTATCACAACGACCACTCATTGGGCTCCTTGAATATGACGGCGAAGCTAGTCAATATGAAAGCGCATATCATGAAGTTGTTGTCCAGTCTGGTAACTGAGAGGAATTGAAAGAAGCAGGAGTCTTTCCAGAGTCTCGTAGCTTTGGGATGATAAAGTGTGAAAACATACTCCCATCAAGACTGCTTGAATTTTTCTCGGTCGACAGCTTGACCCTTATTAGCGAATGTACCTTTTGCATGACTTGGATGTCTCCAGGTATCCTTTCCTATTGAATGCCTATTCCCGAGCGCGCGCGCGTCTCTTCATTCGGATACTTGAGAACTATGCTTGTGTGACCTCTGTAGGCTTGATAGGTACAAAGTCCGGGTTCAGCTGCCTCTCCCACCCCGGTAGATGATAGCCGGGAGGACATGGCGCGACCACCCAGTCAGTTCGCATTGCAGAGCTCTGTCCCTCTGATTTGAAATCCAACGCCAACTTAATCAATTCAACATCTCCCAATCCCCACATACTTCCATCCATGGTCTGATAGTATTCTGTCTTGATCGCCGATTCGAAATTCCGATCAGCTATAAAACCTCTAACAACGTGCCTGTTCTTCCCGTGGCTAACAATTTCGTCGTAGTGGCGCATGTGGCCTACCAGTTCCTTGTTGCGCGATTTCAATGATGCTTGCTGTTCCTCACTGTATGTGCCGTAGGATTGCATTTGCAAGTTGGAGACGAGTAGCGAGCACTGGGTAACATACGATCCACCTTGCCTGTTGCGTAGGTAGAGGGCATGTAGTACAGCAGCAGCACCTGCGTGCCCAGTCAGGTAGTCGGCATTTGGGCCAGGGAAGATATGGGCTTCGTCGTAACCATTGAAACGTCCTATCCCAAGACCAATGCCACATACCTGCAATGCAATGTTAGCAAACAGAGAGACTGGGCCGCAGCTACCACGCTTACCGTATCGGCAATCTGTGCCCAGCCAGGTCTGATCACCCATGGCCCTTTCCAGCCATAGCAATTTTCCTGGCAGTAGACGATACCTCTGTCGCGCTTAGCCACAAGTCCGAGAACAGCGTCACGACCAAAACCAAGATGCTCCATTACAGCTGGACGGTAGCCGTCGATGAACACATCAGCTTCTTGGATCAGCTCTAGAAGCTTCTTTCTGCCGGCGAAGGTCTTGAGATTGATGTCCACGCTTGTCTTACCAATACATCCATCGATGAGAGTTATTGGAAGCTCCGTATTAGTGGAACATGATACACGGATAACAGTCGCACCTAGTGCTGCGCAGACTCGGCCAATGGTGGGTGCAGCAATTGCTCGTGCGAGATCAAGTACCTTGATCCCGGACAGCGGCCGCCTATCTGATCGATCATATCCTACAGTGTCCCAGGACAGGGGAGGCTGTGTGTAGTATGGCTGTGGGATCACGTTGTAATACGGCTCGTCTTGAATGGCTCTTCCCTACTTGACATCAGTTTCACAAGATTCAGATTGAGGCGGATTCTTCTCTCACATGTGGGGAGTTCTCGAATTCTTCCTTTTCCAGGCAGACAGTACCAGGTGTCCGATAGACATTATTGCTCCAGTTGTCAAGAGTCTCCGAGTCCAGGTTTCCCACAATCTTTGCGTACATGTCCAGTATTTGTTGCCAGCTCAAGTTCTCCTCATTGTGCTGTGCCACCCCAAGCATTTCCAGCAAGTGGGAAGGGTTCATATTCCCGTGGAGAGAGTACCAGCGGCCGTCCTTTGTCTTGTAAATATTGGTTGCAAGTTGACGGTAAAGTTCTCGTGTCTTGCCGTGATCCCACCGTTGCACTGCACCCATCATCTTCGGACTCCCCGATAACCAAGAGCCTTCATGGCGAGCAAACAATGCCCCGAGGCCGTTGAGCAATGCGTGGGCAACATCAATTTCGACGTCTTGATCGATTCCGTAGCGATCCTTAGCTATAGCAAGAGCAAAAACACCCACAAGGCCAAGAAGCCCTGCTTGGGATTCTGCAGCCTTGTACGGGACCGGGTAAAATGGGTCTCTTTCGTCTCCAGTGAACTTGATTCTGTCGCCTAGTGCTTTGACATCGGATGGTACGTTCAAGCGAGAATCATTCAGGATTGTCTCGAAGATTTTCTTGGATTCTCCCTGGAGAGTATATGCTTTCTCAGCATTCAGACTGTCCTTGGCGATCATTGTCTCGATCCTGGAAGTACTCGTGGAGGTGATCGCGCCGCTAACAGTCACACAGTTGAAGTGCTAGACATGGACACATCTTAATACACAGGAGGTCCACGGTGACTCTTTCAGACTTGGGCCGCACCTAAGCCACTACACAAAGCTGAAGTAAAGTCCGGAGAATTATGCGGTGGTGATACGAGCTCCGAGACGTGCGGGACATGTGTCAACTCGGGCTTCGGGTGGTTGAAGCATTCGTCGTCCCGTATCCAGGGGATGACTTCTTCTTACGCACTCCAATCCCGTTTCCTTTCCATCCAGCAAAGGCAATCTTGTTGCGGGGAGGGTCGCGGGTGAGGAGGTCTGTCATGAGTAGACAGAACAGAGAACAGACGACATCTCAGAACTCCACACTAAGCGTACTTACTAAGCATGTAACGCCAGGGGAACCGCACAGTTATCGCACGCTTCTCACAAAGGAACTTCTTTTCCTTATGCTTTGAGTTCTGTAACTAGAGCACCTAGATAGGAAGACCTTTTTTAATTGTGTTATCACTCTGCCTATTCCATAGGCCGTTCCTAACAAGGTCATTAGGGTTTGTGAACTGTGTCGGCGTAAAAAAGCCGTCATGAGTGACTTGCTAGGAACCAATCTTTAATTATACACTTACTCTTATGACCTGAGCACGACATCGGCAGATTCAAGATAGTGTCTGAACAGGTGGTCATCAACAATAAGATCTGGTCGTGAAATAAAATCATTCGTAGTGAAAATGGGGCTAGGCACCCACATGCTGGTCGAAATACAAGGTCGACCATGGCGGGCCTTAGATCTTTCAGCCCAAATACCCAATTGCCATGTGGCTAGGATGACCACGATCGAGTGCTGGCACAGAGCATGGATGCTGTGATGGCGGAACCAGCGCGCATATCGGGTCACGTGTGGAGTTCCAAACAATCGGAAGCGATGTAACATTATACCAGGTCCCGTGACACACTCCGTAGAACGCGGAGTATCTACCGCCGATGATCAGCGCCACTAGGCCTAGTCGGACAATGATCTACGTACAATATACAGTACCCACTTGTCAACACTTAAGCCTTTGCCTCGGCATATCTTGGCTTTTCGCCGTTTTCCATGCCATTTCTAATCTCTCTCACCTTATTATCACAATCTCACCGGCGCTTAGTTGACTCAATTCCTGCACAAGCATTTCGCGAACACAAGGAGTATTGTCATCGACACCAGGTCAATCTCGTGTCACGTGCCTTTTCATCCTCGCCAATACAATTCTGCCATTGACCTTGACCATCTCCCGTCAGGGTTGAGGATCAGCATATAATTGCTACGATTTCACCTTCGAATCGAAGCACCATGAGCGCTAAAGAAACGTCGCCTCCTCTCAATGAGGATCACACCCTGCCAGACAGCGATAAAGAACTACCTGAGGCACAACTACCAAAGGATGAAGCCACCGAGAATAGCGACCATCGCACCGACCTCGAAATGTCTCCAGAAGAATACCGCTACATCCTTCGTAAACTCGACTGGGCAATCATCCCGTACTGCTCACTTTTGTATCTTCTCAGCTTCTTAGACCGGGTCAACATCGGTCAAGCGGCTGTTGTCGGTCTCAAGACGGATTTGAACATTTCCAAGGGCAATGCATATGCCATTGCACTTTCGGTTTTTTTTGTTGGATACATAATTGTGGAAGTGCCCTCCAACCTAATTCTCAAGGCTGTTAAACCCCATCGCTGGATTCCAATGATCATGATCGCCTGGGGAATTACCATGACACTCATGGGCCTGGTACAGAGCGGCGGGGGGCTCCAAGCCGCACGATTCTTCCTTGGAGTCGCTGAGGGAGGACTCTTCCCCGGGATTAACTTCATGCTCACATGCTGGTAAGTTCACGCCGTCCCTTTATATGACCTGATCCGGCTACTTGGTATGATTTAAGCCACTTACTAAAGAGATACTAGGTACGCCCGACGACATCAAAGCTTTCGGATCGGAATCTTCTTCTCGGGAGCCACGCTTGCCGGCGCCTTTGGTGGAGTTCTTGCCTACGGTTTGAAATACATTCCGTTTCCATCGTGGCAGCATTTTGGCGACATTCCTCAAAAGGCTGTGCCGCAACCGGGAGGATGGCGCTGGATTTTCATCATCGAGGGCCTGATCACCTTTCTCTGCGCGATTCCTGGCTGGTGGCTGCTTGTGGATTTCCCTGCCGATGACAACAAGATCTTAACTCACTCCGAGACAGCCAAGTGGAACCACTTCCTAGCCAAGAGTCAGGGCGTCACCAACGCCAACGTTCCCTTCAGCTGGGATCAGATCCGCCAGTCCTTTGCGGATTATCGGATGTATTTGTATGCGGTGCTCTACATTTCCATCGCTGAGCCGCTCTACTCGTTGGCACTCTTTACCCCTACTATTATTGCCGATTTGGACTTTTCAGGTGCCTCAGCCAATCTGCTGTCTGTCCCACCATATGTGTTGGGCTTCATCACAACGGTATGTTCGCAGCCTTGCTGGATGTCGGATACACCTCATTTTCTTGTTCTATGGCCGTTCGTCGTCAGTACTAACCTGTGGATAGATGACTACCGCGTTTCTGGCGGACCGCTTCATTATGCGTGGGCCGTTTATCCTGTTCTGGGCTTGCTTCGTCATTATCGGCTACGCTATTCTCATCTCAGATGTTTCGTCAGGTGTCAAATATTTTGCCATCTTCTTGACCGTCGCCGGCGTTTCTCCCAACATTGCCCTGGCCATCAGCTGGGTTGGCGCTAACTTCGGTCCAATCTATGTTCGGGCTACGGTGATGGGCTTTTTCTTCACGATCGGCAACTCTGCAGGGTTAATAAGCAGCAACATTTATCCGACTACTGAATCCCCAAGATTTATCAAGGGCCACGCCATCAACCTTGGTTTTGCAGGGTTAACGTTCATCTTGACGTCGCTCATCATGTTCATCAACTGGCGACATAACAAGGCTCGCGACGCTATTTCATATGCTCATCCGGATGGTCGTGACGTTGATCCAGCTCGCCTAGCCCATGACGATGAGAAAGCGCGATGGGGATACGAGGGTTACAGCCATGAAGAACTTCTCAGACTCGGCGATCAGCATCGAGGCTTCCGTTACGTTCTCTAAGGGTTGGAATTAGTTACAAGAAGATACTGTAGAGGCTATACTCAATCCACGACTGGCGAGGAAGTAAGAATACAACCTGTAGTGACTGAGAAGCCTTTGCGTACAGTACACTGTGAGTGGCTTATGTGATCTGGTTCAGGGGCGAAATGAGAACCATGAAACCGGGTTAATGTGGAATATGGAAGTTTAGAACATCGACCTCTTGGCTTAAACGCTAGCTATCCGCGTTCCTAAAGACCTAAAAGAGAAGAGAGCCTGGACCGACTGCTATTTCCGGTCAGTGTCGGTCAGTTTCGACCAGTTAACCCCTAAATGTCGACCAGTTAACCCCGTATATATCGACGTTCACCGACTGTTTTCTTAGGTAGGTAACGCCTATCCCGAGAAACCTCCTAGGTGTTAAGGTCCCGGTGTAGACAATTTATCAACTAGTTAACCTAAAATATTTGTCGACCAGTTGACCCTGACCGTCTTAGGCATACCTAGATCTTTCATTTAGGGGGACTTACCGCCTATAAGCGTGATCATTATGGGCGTTCCCTTTAACTAGATCGACTACCTTATAGGCGTGATTTTAGGTGTCAAATTTGTGTCGACCAGTGGACCCAAAAATTTGTTGACCAGTTGACCCGGCCGTCTTAGGCGTGTTAAGCACCTCACTTTAGGGGGACAGGCACGCCAACATCTTTGCAATCGACTACTCGTAAGCCATTATTTTCCAGCTCTAGGGGCCCGTGCTGGCTGTGTGATTTGCTGTGCTACTAGAGTTTACCCTGAAGTAATGATGGCTGACTAGGTGGAATGCCAAAGTTTGAGATGTCTTCCGTCGTCTTTCCATTGATGGCCAATTCGGCCATCACACGGCCAATCACCGGCGCAAATTTGAATCCGTGACCGGCGCCTAGGCCCACGATGATGTCGGGATGGTTTTCCAGAGGACCAAGCACGAATTGTCGGTCTGGAGTGATCGCGTACTGGCAGGTGACAGTGCGAAGACTTTCCAGCCGATGACTTGGGACCAGACCACCCATAAATGTAGTCAATTCGTGCAGCAGTTCAGGTGAATGGGCGTATGTCCGTTGTTCCGGCGTCATCAGATTCTCAGACGAGTCACGAGCGGCCTTGATTGTAGGCTCCCCAAACGTTGGGAATCCGTAGAACGTCTTGCCTTCGGTAAAGGCGATCCAGACTGGGAAATTGCCGGGTTCAAATGCTGCCGGATCGGCTGGCTTGAAATATGTCACTTGTTCCTGCATGATCTGTAGCGGAATATGCACCCCAAGAGGCGCGAGTAGTTTGTTTGTCCAGGCGTCTGCGGCGAGGACAACCTTGTTTGCCTGGAATGTTCCTTGTGCCGTCTTGACGAGGACGCCCTTGTCGGGTCCTGCCAGAGGCACAACTTCAATGACTGAAGTGTTTTCTTTCAGAACGGCCCCGTGGGTACGAGCCATGAACTGCATCGTCATCACCGACTTGGCCGCGTGGGCAATGCCAGTGTCGGCCGTGTACACCACGTCCGCGTTTTCCGACAGGCCAAATTGCGGCCAGCGCTCCTTGGCCTGCTGTGCAGTGAGGAGCTCATAGGGCACATTGTTAGCCTCCAGACTTGCCGTGTAATCTATTGCCTTGACACTGGAGGAAGAGGAAGGTCGATCGTTCGTGAACAAGACGACGCCGCCTGTGACCGTCAACAGCTTGACCCCTGCGTATTGTTCAAGCTCGCGCCACTCTCTGTAGGCAGATTTGGCCAGCGCAACGTACTGTGGAGCATCGTAAGATGTCCTGACGATACGCGACGTGTCATGAGAGGCACCATGTACATGTCCAAACTCGAATTGTTCAAATCCTATCACCTTGGCCCCTTTTCGGGCGGCCTGCCACACAGTCGCACTTCCAAATGCACCAAGACCGACCACGGCCACATCGAACTTTTCCATGGTGTATCGTTTTGGAGTGTGTTTTTGGACCTCACCACAAAACTACAGGACGACAAACCGAGATATCGACGCAGTTAATACCGACTCGCAAGTTGAATGAGGTTAAGTCCGCCTGGATCGGGGAGATCATGGATTCGAGGCCGATCACGTGGGCGCTTTGCTGGGGAAAATCTCCGTCTCTCGGAGCGATGCGCGCCCGGCCTTGGAGTGTCTAAGAGAGCTGGCTGTCCAGGCGACGTAGTTCGGCTTTTAGCCGGCGCCCGAGTTCGATGTCAAGAGGGTTGTCTGCTTAACTTGAACAAGTTGTGCGCGTACCTGACTGATTATACCAGTTCATCACCCTGGCATTCCTGTGCATATCTGCTGGGCTTGTAAAGCCGCAGGCAACGCCTCTCTAGGGCTTGATTTTCCTGCTTATTCCATGTTGTCACGATGAAGTTTCAAGTTCGCCCCTGCAGAACTGTCTTTCCTTTTCAATGCAAGTTCTCAATCAATACTAATTGTAATTGCTCAACAGAGTCTTCAAATATTTAAGACATTTTTCCAATCATTGAAGCCACTGTTATCCCGACTCATAGTGAAGCGACGTGCCGATTCCTCTTACAAGATGAGTCTGCCCATTCTGTCCTTTTTCTCTTCCCACTCGAGCTCGTCTACGTGGACAGGACCACTTCAAGCCAATCAACCCCTAGTGTAACCCACTCTACCTCTACATCGCCTGTTTGCCGTAGGGTTCAAAAGGAAACATGACAGCCACAAAAGCCTAAAATTCATGTTTAGTAGCTTCTCTGAGGGCTTCTAGGAATGATGTCTCACCATGACCACATAAAGCCCAGCGCATACAAATATTGGTACTGATGTGGCAGTGTTCCCGTATGCGGCAACAAATGAGGAAACCAATCCCATCACTCGATTGAACGCCACAGCTATCCCGTTACCTGTCGCCCGATGTGCTGATGGCAGAGACTACAATTGAATTCTCAGTTTTTAGTGACAAACGACAGATGTAGCAGAGGACGTACCTCTGGAGTATAGGCATATACTTCAAAATTGCTGTTAGCAGAGTTCACACCGTCTGTTTCAGCGAGACTTACGAGTGCCATAGTAAATATTCAAGGAGAAAGAAATTGCACAACTCAAACCAACATTTTGAGCTGGAGTCCGGACGGCTGTGTAGGCGAAGAAGAAGGCCATGGTGATGAGAGCCCCAATTGCCATTGTGTACCTACGACCAAGAACCTTGAGATTGCACATGAAACCAGCAGCTACCGGTCCGAAAATTCCGGCGACGCTGCTGAGCATGTAGTTGCGCCACTGGTAATACGGGCCTGACTGACCAGTCTGAGCTCCACGTGTGGCAAGGTAATCAGGGAGGAAGACATAGAACAGGGGATATGCCAATCCTAGAAAAAGTCAGCACAAATCGCCAAAATGAAATGTGAAAGGGTAGGCAGTGATTACCAATGAGGAGCCAGGACAGCCAGATCATGGTTGTCGAAAGCGCCAATTTCTTGGTCACGAATAATCCACAGATATGGGCCCAGAGTTCGTTGAAGCCGTACCTAGAATTACCATAGGTAGAAGTGATCCTTCCAAGAGAATCCAGCGCCTCAAGCGTAAGATGGCAGGGTCGATTATATTTTTGAGCAATGTCCTGGAAAGTTTTGACCACTGCAGCGTCATCGCCTTTGGTGAGTAGGTATTTGGGAGTCTCGCGAAGACGGATGACTGTGACTCGTAAAATGCTGCAGAGCATCACGAGTCCTCCATTTCCATACCAGATATACCGCCAACCCTTGACTTCGTGTCAGTTCCGCTCGCAGTACGGAGTGTGTAGGTGGATTACCATATTGTTCTCCTTTGTGCAAGTGGTTGCATCTTGGCATGTCAGTCTTGAACTCGAGAAAATTGGCCAGCAGAAAGCTGCAACAATCACATAGGCTAGACCCCACCAACATGCCATCAGCGTGATCAGCCATTGTTTGTTGCTGGGAAGATATTCGAGGAAGACGGTAGTGTCGAGTACAAGATTACCACCAGCACCGAATCTGTGACCCTCGGTATTTAGCAGTCAAGGCAGAAAAGCAAGGGTATCGTTGGAAGTAGATGAGTTTCAGGAGAGTGGAAGGCTTACGCAGCTAGACTAACAAAAACAGCAAGCACAACCCAATTCGGCGACGAGCCAGCAACAATGGCAAAAACAGAGGAGGAAAAGAGGGACACATTGAAAGCAAAACGGCGGCCGATAATATCCGCACCTATGTAAAGGGTCAGTAAAAGTCTTGTCGCAGAACAGGTGGGTAAATTATGCTACCTAGTCCCCATACAAGCACTCCCACCAGCATGCCTGTATACACAGCTACATTGAGAGCGTATGCGAATGATGGCCGAAATTCGAGAGCAGCTTGACTTGCAGTTACAGCTTGGAGGGCAAGAATGAGAGAATCGGCCGAATATCCGAAACCGTTGAGGAAGAATAGCTTCAGGTGCATGGGAGTCCATCCGATCTCATCCATCGTCTGTACGAAAAATTAACTCATTGCTCTAACGTCGAGGTCGGGCTTGGTCAGACCTTATTAACAAGCCGCATCTTTGCATCAAGAACCGGGTCGATCTCACGCATAGAAAAAATTTGAGCTTCTTCGCTCTCAATCTCGATATTGGAAGCGTCGCCAAGATGGTCAACATCATCATGTAGTCCAGCATGATGTTCTCGATCGGTGCCCTTCTCGAATGATCGCTCCATACCGTCAGATTTGTCGAAAATATTTTCATCCATGGCGCTCTAATATCGATAAAGATGAAGGTTCGCAAAAATTATCTCTTCTGACTGAGGGTTGTGGGTGGGCTTGGGGGTTGGGAGCCTTTTCAAGGTCGCAGGCCTAAGAGGTCCCCGCGAACGCGGAGCACAAGGTCCACTCTGGGCAGATGTGGAGAAGATAAACAGCCCTTTCGACCATTGCTTTGAATCTACTTGAAGATTCAGGCTTCGGAATTCGCCCGTTAGATCCCATGTAGCCGTTCCTCTTTAGATGTGCGAATCAGAAAGAGGTCCCGCACGCGTGGCAAGCTCAATGACAAGTCTTGACTAAGGCATTGATTGATTGATTATTTTCAAGGGCACCAGCGGGCTAAGCCCAATGATGACTTAGCTAATTCTAAGGTAGTATTGTCAAGCATATTGTATCGTCAAGGATAAACTCCGAAGGCGGAGGGTGTCGAACAGCCTATCACGTGACCGGCTCTATCCGGACTGTGTGCAGCAGCTGGCTGGCCCGCCGAAAGATTAGGGCAAGTATTAATCGGGGAGCCAGGATCAAAACTCCCCTGGGATACTGCACCACTAGACCGTACACATCTGCGGGATAGAATGAGGAGTACCTCACATGAAATTAAAATGCTCATCGGACCTGCCTTTCTTGTTCTCTAAGCAAATAGTCTATAGTCTAGGATTATCTGCCATCTTGCCCATACCTGTCTTTTCTACGAGAAGAATCTCGTCTTTAGAAACTTCCAGGTCTACAGCCATTCGACCCAGCATGTTGTCGTCACTTGGTTCATTCATCGGGATGCCGAACACAAACCATAAAACAGACCTGTCACCGGCTTTAGCCCCTGAATGCCGAGCACTCCCTGCCTCATGGTATCGGAGGGATGAGATGTATCAACTAGAGCGCCGAGCAATCTTCTCAAAGAGATGGCTGCTTGTCACTCACAAGTTACGCTTCAATAAGCTGGGAGACTTCATACGCTTCGAACAGGCGGGATATGCGTTCGTGCTATGCATGGATAAAGACGGAACTATCAATGGCTTCCACAATATCTGTCGGCATAGGGCTTTCCCCGTGGTCACAGAAGACACCGGAAACGCGAGGATATTCTCGTGCAAATACCATGGCTGGTCGTATGGGTTGAATGGCCAACTTGCCAAGGCCCCTCGCTTTGAGTCTGTGCCTGGCTTCAATAAAGCAAACCACAGCCTATTCCCTATCCATGTGCAGGTGGACTTACTGGGCTTCGTCTGGGTCAATCTCGATGCATCGCCAGTGCCTGAAATAAAATGGGAGGACGATTTTGACGGAGTTGACAGGCAGGAACGATTTCAGTTTTACGACTTTTCGAAGTATGATTTTGATCACGTCTGGGCCATGCAAGGAAATTACAACTGGAAGACACTGGCCGACAATTACAATGAATGTTACCATTGTCAGGTTGCACACCCGGACGTCAGTAAGTTGGCCGACTTGGCATTCTACTATACAGTCTCGAAACCCGGCTACATTCAGCACTTTTCGCGGCCCAAAAAGGGCAAAGAGGACGACGATATCAAAAATGTTAGCACCTATTATTTTCCGAACGCCTGTATGACGGTCACGTACGTTAATACTCTCCCCTTGTATACATACCCCTCTAACCCTTTTTGTGGCTACAGGCCTCATTTTTTCTACATGATGCGATGCGTCCCAACATCAGCGACGACGTGTTCTATGGAGTATGAGGTTTATCGCCACAAGGATGCCACAAACGAGGAGTTCGAACACATCGATTCCTTCTTTAAACGAGTTCTCGGAGAAGACAAGTACTTGTGCGATGCAGTCCAGAGAAATCTGAACGCCGGTGTCTTCACCAACGGAGAGCTACACCCTGATTTAGAAAGCGCGCCAATTTTCTTCCAAAATACCGTGAGACAGCTTGTGATCGACCATCGCAGGAAAGAGGACGACAAAGGAGAGGAGTTGTGGCCAGCTCGTCGTTTCTTACCTCATTCAGGAGCCACGAATGACGACGGTGCGTTCTGTGATGGATTAGCTTGCAAGGCTTCTCAGGAGATGGAAACAGAGTGGTGATTTCGAAAGACTGAAATAATGATAGAGGTCGAATCAAAGCGGTCAACTGCGCCTATGTTTGATCTCAGTCCAATCATAGAGTAGCATATCTGGAGTAGAGCGCAATTGCGGAGTGTGACCATTTTTGTCCCCGCGTTTGATAAATATATAAATATCTCCTGCTTTCCATCAGGCTTTCACTTGACCAAAATCTGTGACAACCCCGTCCACCAATAATTGTTTCGCGAGACAGCTGGAAGACATGCAGAGTCGTCCCCACAAGCGTCTGCATCAAGCCTGCGAGAACTGTCGGTAGGTCGTTTTACTCATTCTCTAGATCACATGCTGGAACGTGCTGACGTAGAATTAACAAGGAGAAAAAAGACTCGATGTCCTGGCGAGAGACCAGCATGCTCAAGCTGCACTCGGCTTTCGAAAACATGCAAATACCCAGAACTTCAGAGAGAAAGATCCGCTTCAGACGATCTATACCGGCCGAATCTAATGAACACGGTATTTTCTGATTAATTGGGCTTGACACAGAATCACAGGCTTACCGTATGGCGATGCAGGAACGGCGGTTGGCACAACTGGAAGGGAAAATGAGGATTGTAGAAAGTCAAATGTACGAAGAAAGCCAGTTATGCCCTTGATCTTCCCAAGTCCGCATTCGCTGATAGTGACTTTCGTCAGCACGAGCAATAACGTCGCATCTTCAACAGCGACAACAACGAACTCGCAGGCATCTCCAAATCGACAATCCCAACAACCGCCTCTTGCCGAAATTGGTGGTGCATCAGTGAGGAAAGACTAAGGATCCTTTTCTACTGTTCAGCCCCGTCCTAGGCTGACTTTCTAGCTTTTTTAGCCTGATGCCCCCGAGAGACGTCCTCGTTGACGCCGTCGATTCTTATTTTCAATATTGTCATAAGCAACCCCTATGGCTGTTCGATCGAGACGAGTTTTCCTCCTTGCAAGACTGCCGTGAGGAGACACTATTCTCCCTTCTAGCGCTTTCGGCGTGTCACGCTAGACATCTATACTTCCGCAGCCAGCCGGACGAGCTGAGTGAAAGGTATGCCCAGGCCGCGAGAGAGCACATCATGCAGCGGATTGTCGAGGGCACCGTCACACTCTCGACTATTCAGAGCCTCTGCATGCTGGCAATGGCCAATCTACAAGGTCAATATTTCGCTCTATACATGGTGTTCTATGTCGACTGACCGCACGTAGCCAATAACCCAATCTTGGTGAGTTTGCACGTGGGCATCGCATCGACATTGGCAAAATGTGCTAGCCTTGACTTCGAAACATACCCTCTAGGCGATCTCAGCTTGCATGCAGAGTCGCGGCGAAGAGTATTCTGGAGCTTGCATCTGCTACAACAAATGTACGGGCAGCAAGGCTCCTCGACAACCGACATCCTTGAAGATATTTCCAGTCCCCAGCATGTCATGACTCATACAGACCTGTCGAAGAAGTTGAATGATCTGCCCCCATCAATGCCGCAAGGGGGAATGAACGAGGAACGCAGTGAAATATGGGCTTATATGATCCAATTGGCCGCTCTATGGGCAGAGATTCGGACGTACGTGAGACAATTCGTCCGGCAGACCAACCTCATGCCACCCCCATGGTCCATCGAGTCTAGGTACACTATCATCAACGCCCATCTTATGGATCTGGAGACGAAGCTGCCCAGCCGTCACCGTTTCGACCTGGCACGCTTTTCCTACCAGGAAAATCAGGAGCTCCAGAACAATCGGGAATACTGGAGTCCGTGGATTTATCTGCAATTCACCTATCACACCATTCACAATATGTTAAACCATCCCTTCTTGTATTCGTCGCGAACACGGCAGTCAGCCGAGCAGAGCGCGCCAAACACTTTTTGGAAGACGTCGTTGGAGCTCGCATTTATTCACAGCATCTGGGTCTCACGTCTCATCGAAATGATTACAAAAAAGGCCTATCGTGTGTCAGATCCGTTCATTGGTCACTGCACGGCAATTGCAGCCACCGTCCACCTCTACTTTTGCCGAACCGATGATAAGACGACCAGGGAGGCGGCATTGGACAGGCTTGCAAGATTTGTTGATTTTTTGGCAGAGCTGGCTTTGCTTTGGCCATCGTGTCGAGTGATGGTGAGTGTCTCCCTTCGCCCGTGGTTTCTTCCCGGGATGCTGAATCTTTGACAAGCATGAAAAGCTCCAAGCTTTGTTTCACTCCGCATTGTCGTCGGCTCGTCATTCGGTGGGCGGAGAGCCGAACCAAGATCCGACATCCAGGACCTTATCGATTAACACGCGTTTGATGTGGGATATTCTCCTCTACAATGTCGCCGACAATAGGGATACGAAGACTTTGTCTCGCCTGGGGCGTCTTTTCGACGAATCAGCTTCTTTCCCACGAGACCAAGACGACGAAGGAGAGGACACTGTCGAGATGGAAATCTCCCACCATCCTACCGTCGAAGTGATCCTGTCCAATGGACAGGCATTGCCATTACAGTCAGGCCAACGGCGACATAATCAAGAAGGTGGCGGCATCAGATTAGATGACAGGCAAAACTTGCAGGCAAATCAGCCCTTTGCCGTGCCTGCGGCCGACTCCCACTTCACCGAACCCGCTGGTCCTCCCTTATGGCCGATTGCCGGCAGTCCTTCGCCCTCCGACATGACCTACGACCTTTTGTTCCAATTTCAAGACCCTGGCAGCCCTTTTTTGGGGCGTGGGAAGCTGGCAACCTATAGTTCTCTGCGCCCCTGAAGAGAGAATATCTTCAGACCTATGTAAAACCTCATATGTAATACCTCATGACTGAATATCACCAAGTTATATGCTTTTCTGATTCCGTCGCCGTGCTCCTCGAAGCACAGCCAAGGCATGATCTGTTGAACAGATCCTATGAAGTTTCGGAATGGGCTTCCGCGAAAAGAAAACAATGCCTAGTATTGACAGCACTACACAGGGACACAATTGGGCTCATGCCAGAACGACCGACGGACCGACGGCATATGAATATCTTTCAATGACCGGAGATCCAATATGCATCGTCCACCAGCAACCTCCGTCTCCACTGTTTTCAACGTGTCGGAGGAGACACCGTACCTCCATGGCCGTAGCCGTAGACGCAAACATCTGGGAAATTAAACAATTATATACAAGCCTAGATGGTTTACTCTTGCTGCAAGCGATTCTCTAATGATTTCTTTCGGTGAAGTATCATTAGCAGCAGCAACATCCATCCCTTTGGTGTCAAATACACTGCCAAACACCTACTTGACATTCCCCAGTGGCCTTTTTCCGACTCTATCTGCGGGGTACACAAGCCAGGGCTTAAGAAGGATACGAACGGCACGACGAGATGGACGAGGACTCGCAACTCTTCCAAACAAGCCTGAAATCGGCTTTACCATCGCTTTCCAATTCTACCAGAGCAGTACATGCGGACGACGTCCTCAACAACATCGATGACGTGGCACCAGCTATTCACGTCACCACAACATTTCGATATCCTCGAGCCGTGGACCGCCTTCGTCCACATCACGAGAGGCCTTCGTACCCTGTGCTCGACAACGGGGAGCACTGCTACTCGAGGCAGTCTACGCCGGGACTGTCGCGCCTGGAAGCGGTGTTGTCGTCTGTCCTGGAACATCCATGCATAGCATACTCCTCCGGCCTGGGCGCGTTCAATGCACTACTGAACATGCTTAACCCGAAACGGGTTTCGATCGGAGCTGGTTATCACGGCTGTCATGGGACACTCGAGCTCTATGCACGGGCGTCTGGGACTGAGGTGCTCTCGCTTGATTGTGCCGTCGACCAACTGGGCCCAGGCGACCTGGTCCATCTCGAAACGCCGGTGAATCCGACGGGACGGGTTTTAAATATCCAGTATTACGCTGACCGCGCTCATTCACGGGGAGCGTATCTGAGCGTGGACTCGACGTTCGCACCCCCTCCACTGCAAGATCCGTTTCTCCACGGCGCGGACGTGGTGATGCACTCGGCAACAAAGTATATCGGTGGTCATTCCGACCTGCTGGCCGGGTTGTTAGCAGTCAAAGGCGGCGGCACATGGCTCCAGCAGTTACACCGAGACAGGTTGTATCTCGGGTCGGCTTTGGCCGGTTTCGACAGTTGGCTCGCAACTCGAAGCGTCCGAACTCTCGAAATGCGAGTCTTGAGGCAGAGTGGGTCTGCCGAGTTCATCGTGCGCGCCTTGCACTCGGCAATGACCGTGTCTCCCCGATCGGCAGGGACAAATATTCTCCCCGTCAAAGACGCTCTGACCGTCCAGAAAGTGGTCAAAGAGATCCATCACGCTAGCCTCGAAGCCGACGCTGACGCGGAAGGCTGGCTGCTAAGGCAAATGCCTCGGGGCTTCGGACCGGTGTTTGCTCTCACTGTTCGAGAAGTCGATTTTGCGAAAAGCTTGCCTTCTAAGCTGCTCCTCTTCCACCACGCGACAAGCCTAGGTGGTGTCGAAAGTTTGATTGAATGGCGGACGATGACCGACTCAACCGTGACCAAGGATCTCTTGCGAATCAGCGTCGGTGTGGAAAGTCCTGAAGACCTCTTGGCTGATCTAATTCAAGGGATGCGAGCAGTCTGCAAATAGAAGTGATCTAGACAATCTGATGTCAGTTGTGATTCGGATTATGAGATCGCACCTTTATTACTGTAACAAGGCTATTGAGATCAATATCAGGTGCATTCATTCGCTTGCTTCTCCCTGGACGAATTTTTTACTGATGGTGGTCAGAACCTTTTTGCCTGACATGAGTTGCTATCGGTCAACATGGTCGATGTCGTTCCTGCTGGCTGCACTATTTTTGTCCGTGAAGTCGTACCTGCGGCCAAGCTGTTACTCACTGTCGGTCGAACCCAAACGCTGTATCAACACATACGGCATTCCTATCTTCAGCGTAAGCGAAATCGAGACTGCCTCAACATTTCGAAATCAGCACTTTCGACTGCCCACGACTCCATCTCCGCAGTTGGTAGCGACCAATTGTACCAGCAACGCATTCACCAACCAGCTATCAAATGCCCGCCAGGGTCTTTCCGTCTCGACCATCGCTACTAGGTACCCTTTGTTTGTAGCGTATTGGTGGCCTGATATCGGCCTGCATGCTCAATCTATTGCTTCGTTCTAACGGCTTGCCTACTGACAAAATCCTAATCTATCTGGAGCGCTTCATCTGTCTGAACACTGAGTTCGTCTGCCCAAGTCCAAACCTGGCCAGAATTCTTTTGGAAGGGACGTCCCACCGACTCGACCAAGCCGTCTGCTAGTTTACCCTCTAGTATCATTCCGACGGCTCATACTGACAATTTATCGCTGACAGTTTCTTTGACCGCTTTCGCAAACGGTGACTGAAAAGCCGGGGCCCTTCGGATATGCTGCTGTAGATTATGGTTTCTACCGGATGACACGTTCAACAGATCAACGCAGGAAAGCCAAGATGGGTGCCAGCTTCAGAGTGGACTTGAGGATCCAGGACTCGCTCAGCGATGCATCGTCTTCGAGCATATCTGTGGCGAGATTCGGAGGAAGAGAGGAGTGGTTTTGAGAAGAGACTAGCGAGTCAATTCGACAATCTCTCTCGTCAGTCGCGTACGATTTTGCAGCTACTCCCATATCGATCCGTTCGTTCGTTGGTGGCAGGCGAATCAAAAGAGAGCAGATAATCATGGCCCCCATGGATCTCGATCACGTCAAATCCAATGTTAAGAGCGCGTTTCACCGCGGCAACCCAGGCGAACTTGAAAGCTTCGATTTGTTCGAGCGTCACGTCTTGCGGCAGTGGGTACGTATCAACGGATACGAGGGCTGACGGACCCCATACATCATCTGGCAAGCCCTCAACATTGAGCGGTGGCAGTCTCTGCCACAAACGCCAGGGGGCACGGTGCTCGCCTTACGGCCGGCGTGTACGAGCTGAATGTCAATCTTTTGACGCTGAGAGGACGCAGATTCTACAATAAGCTTGAAAGGCGGTCTGTGTGTGTCGGACCACAGTCCTGCATCACTCTTTTACTCGTCGATATCGCCTGTTTACACGTTCCTCATACTCCTTAGCTATTCGGGTAATGCAGAGTTGAGAATCTGGGGTCTTCCCGGGGTTCAAAAACTCTCGCCCACAAAACGCTGTGGGGTTCAGCTCGTCAGTGGGAGTCTAGTTCACCAATACACCTCTAAGGCGTAATGAGTCAAGTCACACGTAGGACCTAATTGTCCCATTTCTCAACGGCCTAGAATATATTCGTAAAGTGTGATCTGCATTGGGACCACTCTCCCCCTAAAAAATTCAAGTCCAACTCAAAAAAGGTATGATCGTGGGGCATGCGTGCTGTGGGGTTGACGGGCCGCGCACAAAAGAATCGAGATACCCCGAGGTCTGCTTGCCTAATCGGTGGGCAACGAATCACTGCAAGTTTAATGTCGAAATGCCTACTTTCTCAAGGCTCAATTTGTCGTTGATGCTGCTGACCATCAGATCGAGCATCTGATGGTTTCTCCTCTTCGGCTATAAAGTCCGCATCTGCCACCAGGCCCTCACTCTCGATGTAGGATCCATCGAGAACATCATGTTGCAAACTGCTCCTCTACTATACCCTCTGCTTGTACTTGCATTTCTGTTTTGGTGGAAGTGGAAGAAGCCGGAAACCAAAAATGCGCCGCCAGGACCTCGTGGTAAGTTCCAACATTGGGGAAAGCTGTAATGACTTGGGGGTTGCTGATGCTGGAGCAGGTATACCGCTTTTCGGAAATCTCTTTCAGATACCGCCACATCACTCCTGGCTCAAGTTCAAGGAATGGGCTGATCAGTATGGGTCGATATATCAGCTGAATATCGCTGGTCGAAAGCATGTTGTGTTGTCGACTGAAAAAATCGCCAATGAGCTTCTCCGAGAACGAGGTTCAATCTACTCATCACGCGAGCAGCTTGCATTCGCGTCAGAATTATTGTCAAACAACCTACGGCCTCTGCTTTTACCTTATAATGGTGAGACTTTTTCCCTTCATGCGCAAGCAATGAGCTAGAAGCTAACCATACCGTGGCAGAACTGTGGCGACGAGGACGCAAGCTCATGCACCAATTGACTATGCCCGTGGCAGCGGACTCCTATCAACCTGTTCAAGAAATCGAATCGATCAAGCTTCTCTCGAGAATATTGAGAGAGCCCAGTAAATATGAGCAATGGTTCGAGCAATACGCTTCTGGAGTTGTCTTTAGGATCGGCTTTGGCCGGTGGATCAAAACCGGCCAAGAGGAAGAGTTTCAGCGAATTATTACAGTTGGCAAAAACGTTGAAAGGGTGGCATCCCCAGGGACGTATCTTGTTGATTCAATCCCACTCTTGAAACACCTTCCAACGGGGCTGGCTCCATTCAAGCAGGAGGCTCTACAACTCCGTACAGAAGAGCTAAGTTTGTTCCGGAAACTTCAAAACGATGTTCGAGAGACCATGAAGACCAAAGATGTGCCCGAATCATTCACAAAGACGTTCCTTGAAAACCAAGAAGCGTATAAACTCTCCGACGATGAGGGCGCTTACGTGATTGGTACCCTGTTCGAGGCTGGAAGTGGCACAACTGCCGCCGCGATGATGTCCTTTTGTCTCGCCATGTGCCTCCATCCCGAATGGCAGACCAAAATCCAGAAAGAAGTCGATGAAGTGGCCAAGACTCGAATGCCGAATTTCGACGACATGGCGGAATTGCCCACTGTTCGTGCCGTCATCAAAGAGGTCTTGCGCTGGAGGCCGGTCACGGCAGGTGGGGTGCCACATCAGTTGATCCAGGATGATACCTATCAAGGATTCTCTTTCTCAGAGGGAACAGTGTTTCATGCGAATCAGTGGGCGATTCATCGCGACCCGGCCCTCTACCCAGATCCTGAGAGCTTCCGGCCAGAGCGCTGGTTAAGCCCCGAGTTTCCCCAGACTTACCGAGAACCGTTGACCAAATATCCCAACCTGCAGAACTACTCTTGTTTTGGATTCGGGAGGCGGATATGTCCTGGACAGAATATTGCTGAGCGATCCATGAACATTCTCGGAGCTCGCATTGCCTGGGCTCTAGATCTGCGGAGGAAAATTGACACCGACGGGAAAGCAGTGTCCATTCCGGACTACGACTATACGATCGGTTTCAATGTTCAGCCTCGCTATTTCGACTTTGATATCTTCGCACGATCGCCGGAGAGGGCCACGATTGTCGCTCAGGCACTGCGGGAAGTAACTAAGGAGACTTCGTAGACATATTTATTGATATTCAGGCGGGAAAATTGGAACGACTGCGAGAGATATTGGGAAACAAATCTGTGTACATATAATATGCACATGGGTAGCAATAATGCGGAATTTGGAATTCATGACTAAATGGTCTTCAGTCAGAAGATCACTCAACCAAGTCCACTCGATCGGCATCTTCATGACTGTGATGAACTAGTTGAAAGCCCATTGTCTCTGACGTGTTTACCTGAAGAAGAGATCGGACCTTCTAGAATTTCTTTTGCCCTCACAGAAGTAGCAGAGGTTTTATCGCACGTACGAGCTACACTCCTCCGTGCTATCGTAGAATAAGGACGTCAGACATAATCAGTGTTCTGGTGGACGATGGTTGCTGGTTCAATTGGAATGCCCGGACCGTTAGGGATCTTCACTCCCGTTATCTCATTCGCCTGTCTGAAGACATCTACCCTGTAAGATCACATCACCTCCGACTTGAAATATCCCCAGGCCTGTTTATATTCTTGAGCTGCAACAATGGAGATATACCTCGAAATGATACCACAAATCGAGCTTGAGATTTTGTTATCCAAGGTGCAAGTCTGAGCCTGCGACCCTGGGTGGCTGTAGGGACTCAGCAGGGACCATAGCGATCCAGTCTACCCCAATGCCATGTACTCGGAGTTCATGCATCCTACCGATCTCTATGGAGTCTTCTACTACAATTGGCGAATCCCCTCAGATCTCGCTATCTCCCGACTGCATGTTTCTTTCTTTTCCCTATTATCGTGACTTCTCAACTAACGTCGAATTTACGATAATAACCTCTGGGAACGCAGGACTACCATGCTGTAACAGTGGTGATGGAGCATATCCCAAGACAAAATCAAAGAACGCGCTGATGTAGGTCGTCAAAATAGTGAGCATGCGATCTCCCTTAACAGTTCCGATCAGTTCTGAAAGCAGCTGCGGAGGAAGCTGCGGGCGAAGCCCAAGTGTATCGATAATCACTGGGAAATCCAGAAAGCTACCATGCGCGCTGCCGATAACCGATGTCTGGACCTTTGAGTCTTTCAAGTGCGGCCATACCGTTGCCCAGCTCGGATCAGTGGATTGATTTTTGCCTTCATGTGCGAAGATCATGAACGGTCTGTCCAGGCCACCAGAAACAACCGTGCCAAAGAAGGTCCCGTCGAGATTGACACCCCCGATAGCTCGATGATCTTGTGACATTATAGAAGCTGCTGCTGCCCCTCCGAACGAATGCCCAAAGACCAACGCTTTCGTCGGGTTCACTTTGCCGTACAGGTTTTTAAAGAGGCCTCGCGTGAGTGTTCGGTTTCGCATTTGGTCAATGACAAAGGAGAGGTCTTTGACTCGAACGGCCAATGCCCCATCAAGTTGATTGACATCGGAGTCATTAATATTCGCCGCCATCACCAGGTCGCCACTTGGGAATTCGACAACATCAGCGTCATACGGGTGATCCACGGTTACAACCACATAGCCTTGAGCTGCCAGCGACGCGGCGATATTGCTGTAGAGCAGTCGAGAATCACCCAGCCCTGGCGAGAAGATAGCCAGGGGATATGTGTTCTTCGAAGATCCATACAAAGCTGTATTCCGGCAGAGCGTCAGCTGTATCGCTTCAAATGTCCCATTGGGCAGCCCGACTGCGCTGTACTGCTGGTCGTAGAAGGCGGCAGTCCCTGCGGACATATAGGGGACTTTAGTTTGCTGGCAATCATCTACCTCTGCTAGAGGATAGAAAGCAGATACCATAAGCCGACGCTCTTGTTTGGTAGGGGAGTAAGGATCGAGCATTTTGGCGTTGATGAGTTCAGCAGTGGTGCTAGCAACCCCGAACGGTCCTTTCGGGGGCGGAATGGTGGCATTGAAAGCAAGGCATGCTTTGAGAAGCATTGAGGCAACTGCTGCTTGGATGAATGAAACCATTTTTGTCGGAGCTCAATGGCGCTTGCAAATTCAGCAGAGTATTCTGTAATATGAAGAAAGGAAAGGGGATAGTGCGTTCACAGATATCTGGTCTTCCGTGCCATGGTGCGAGACTTTGTGGTTTATGTAGACAACAGAGGATTTCCATTGTCTCGCAATCTCCCCTTTGGTGACCATCTACTCTATTTGATCTCACGAATTCCACATCCCACCTCACAGACATGGTGCAATATGATGTACTCTGTAGCTCCACCTCGCGCGAATGCTACCTATTGTGGTTTAGTGGCTTTGGCTAGCGAGTTTGGCGAGACTGTCAAGACTTTCAAATCCCGCAAACTATGACCTTGCACCCCAACTTCTACATTAACACGGGAATGAAGCAACAAAACTACGCGTCACGCAGAAATTGAAACTGTGCCACATTCTACGGTTCGCCCGAATGATTCCTGTTCCAGTTATAAGACCGGGATGAGAAAATCCAAGAGAGCTACGCATAAATTCCGAGGCAACTGGACTCCTGCAAATTAGAGGAGCTGGCAGCAAATGACCGTCGGACCACTTGACCTACGAAAGCGTCGCTTGCGGTGTGTGCAATGCGCATCCAGTCATCTCAAGGTAGAAGCTCCCTAAAATTTCTTGATTGTGTGACAATGACTCACATTGGCGCACAGTGTTCGGGTAAAATCCCCTGCGACAACTGTACTCGACGAGGCAAGAATTGCTGCCCGCCTACTCAAGACACGGCTATCAAAGTGAGAGATGGGCAGCGTGAAAAGGAAAACAGTGCAGCACAGCTGCCGATGCCATGCCCATTGATTCGACCTCTCGCGATTGACACGCAGTCTCTCTATGTGATTGAATTTTTCGACAAGTTCCTGGACCGCAACAGCTTCACAGGCAGACCAGGATCTTCCTGCTCCACCTTCCACTCGATCCTAGAGGACAATCTGAGCTTGTCAAATGTAGCCTCAGCCATAGGTGCTCTACAGGTTTCTCGACTGCGTTCTGCGGGGTCCGCGCAATGCACACGGGACGCCCTCGTTAACTATCGCAACGCTGTGACTGCTCTGCAATCAGAGATTGAGTGTGTAGGGAGATGTGACATTGTCGGTCTTTCGTGGAGCACTCTGCTTCTGGGCTTATTTGAGGTTTGTTTCACCGTTACATCTTTAAGCCTCCAATTGCGCGAATGGACACAATCTGACAGTGAGATACCTGGTTAGCTCATGTATGACACCACTGGGGATGGATGGATTCGCCATATGCTGTATGGAACATCGCGGTTGCTCCAGCTGCTATCTCCAGAGGGTTGCTCTCATGGCGCCGGCAGGGAATTCTACCTCGAAGCCCGCATTTTCGAGATTGCTCGATCGATGCTCTTCTCTCAAGAGTCATTTTTGACAATGCCACCATGGAGGTCTCTGACCCAGAAGGTATGGTTGGACTCATATGCAGGAGACTGGACTCCTTTTGAGGCTCTTCTAGACCTGGCGACCTTGGTGGCGGACCTCTGCATTCGGTACACCTATCACCTGACACGTCTGGAAGATACTAACCAATGACGAGTAGGACGACGAGCTTCATTCGGTCCAAAGAGACACATTCCATCTCCGCGGCTGACTGTGACCAACTTCACACCTTCGCTATGCAAGGCACTATGTTGAAAACAGAATTGACGACTTGGAGTCACATGGCACGAGAATGGTATGGCACAGATTCTGCAGCCGGCCACCGGTATCTTTCTGCGGTATATTATTCGGCAATTTCAATCTATCATTCAGGAACCTACGACTATTCCAGTATATGGAGCCAATCAGGTGTGGTCACTCCTTCTCTCGATCCGTCAGAGGTTCAGCAACACGTTCGCACAATCCTGGACGTCACCATGCTCGCTATGCGCCACACCAATCTCAGTGGCGTAGTGTTTCTTGTTCCACTTCGGATTGCTGGGGCTCGAGCCAGGTCGCCGGAGCAGAGGGCTCCAATCAGTAGAATGCTCTTCGACATCACAATACCTTTCCGAGCTGCCAAAGCCGTGATGTCCGACCTTGAAGAAGTCTGGGCCACCTCAATGAGTGACAATTCATAGAGGTAAAGTGCCATGTCCAGTAACCAGGTGTTGATTGTATGCTAGCAATGGATGTCCAGCTCCCCAAAAGCCTTAGCCAAGTCCCAGACAGAGTATCCTGCGAGTGCATTCACCTCAACTAAACCTGGACTGCGATACGATTGGTGCAGTACTTGCGGATTGACGGAATAAACAAGCTGAGTACGCATGCCACCGAGCCAAATGCAATGCTGGTATACCAAACATAACGCAGTGACTCTGCAAAGGCCCATCGAGAGCCTATTGTCGCAGCCTCAATGATTGTAGCATTGACACCGGGAACCTTGGCAATCTCCGCCGGTTTGGTTAAGAATGTACCCACAAAAGCCTCTGCATCTGCCACGGGGAGTCCGGCTTCGATGGCATACCTTGCAATGTTTGCTGGCAGTCTTGTCTTTAACTTATTGGAAAAGACGTTGTAATAGATACTATATCCAATCGAACCCCCAACGGTTCGGACAGATAGGGAGAGGGCGACCGCGGTACCCAAGAGCGAATCAGGTACCACAATCATAGCGACTGTTGCCGCTGGAACCAAGATACCGCCAACACCAAGTCCGGCCAAGGACCCTATGGCAACAGTAGTGGTCGCGTTGAAGGGGGTTGCTACGGCCAAGGCTCCGTCAAGGGCGGCTACCGCAGAGTCTCAGTCAGGGCTAGCAGTTGAATGAGGACTGACTTACTCATGATAGCTGAAGCAATAAAGAGTATTTCTCGAGCATGACCTTTGGTCACTGATAGCATTGCATTGAAGAAGACTGCTCCCGCAATATTGCAAACTGCAACACCCACGGCTTTTGTACCGACTTTCACAGGAGCGGGATCGTAGACCGTCGAAAATGTCAATGGGTACATGTTGAGGAGAGAGTAGAAACTCGCACCGCCGATAAATGCGACACCATATGCTAGGGCCACGACTCGTTGACCGGCGAAGAGTTCCCTTGGAACCATTGGGTACTTTGCCCCCTTCCACTCCCACACGACAAAACCGACGATCAGAGCGAAGCCAATTAATAGTGTGCAGAGAACATAGGCGCTAGACCATGGATGCGAGTAGCCGCCAGCTTGCAATGCCACAAGACTTTTGGCAAAGTACGTCAGCACAAGGCCTAGAGCAAGGAAACTGGACGACAATGTACTCACAGAAGTGTCAACCCAGTGATAGAGAGTAGACCACCGATGTAATCAATGTCCTTGATGATTTGGCGCTTGGACTGTCCTTGTGTTCGTGGATGGGCTTTTGGGAAGTAGGTAAAAATCAGGCCTACAGTCACAATACCATTGATAATCCTTTCATCAGGTGTTAAAAATATTCGATAGTTTCCTCGTACATCAACCCCAGAGTGATACAGCCTGTACTCACAATGCGATCCATGCGCCCCATCTCCAAGTGGAATGAGAAGCGTAAAGCTGAGCATAAAGAACGTTTGGAGCGAATGGAATGATGGTAAAGGTCACGGCCGCCGCTGCAAGTCCGCGGTGCTTTACAGGGACCATATCCGAAGTCCTTGTACACAAGAGTTAGCACAGTACATCTTGCCTCTCGGCTAAGATGGCAAAGAAGTGGCTAAGTTTACCCAGCAAGAGCAGTCAACTCGCCGACCGCCGCGCCAGCACCAGCGACCGCCATACCCACCAAGGCTTGTGCAAACGTATGAGATGTGCCAAATATAATACAACCCACGCAGAGAGTGACCGCCCCAGAAATGGCAATGACCCTTCGCCCAAGAAGATCCTCCATGTATCCGGTGAAGGGCGCCACTGCCGCGACCGCAAGGATGTTTGCCACTGGCAGCCAACCTTCCGCGCCTGTGGCATGGAGATCCTCGGCGATGTACGACAGGCAACCACCCACGACATACAAGATCTGCTGAGAGCCTAGGGTTATGACTTTAGTAATGTACCTTTGGAGCTCCGCAGTGTTCGGCAGTAGAACATACCCACGTTAAGCCATGACAGTGAGAGAAACGCAAGCACAGTTCGAACCGTCCACACGACTTTACCATCCGAGTCATCGCCCTTGAATGCTTTGGAATTTGCCACGTCGAGATCATCCACATCCGCACCTGCAGTGACTTCGGACTTCTCTTTAGTCGTAGCATCCGCGACTTGTTCCCGCTGATCAACATCAGGGGTGGCCGTGAACTTTTCTTCCGTCGATTTCATGCTGGAGAATGTCTACAGTACGAGTAAAGAGACAATAATAAAATTGCTAAGCAGATTTCTACTGTGGGTTGTTACGATAGCAGTCGCATCTCACCCCACAGCTATTGCTTTATAGTATATTCTGAGGCGGGATTCTGAAAAAGGGTTCCCCGGTTCCCCAGTTCCTCCTAGTAAGCGTGGATATCCCCGTCCCACGTCCTTTGGGTCTGGGGTCAGGTCATGACCCGTGGCGTGCGAGTCATCAACCTTATTCCACATGTGTCTGGATGTATAACTGACACCTCTGGGAGCTAAGCGCGGAAGGGAACCTGGTTCGGGGAGACAAGTGGTTCTCTGTTCCTCCTAAGTGTTTCCTGAGATTAGGAAATACCACAATATCCTGTATAGTAAACATCCCGGCGTACCAGGAAGCATTTTAGTTTCTAGCATATTAGTATCTACATGAAGAGCATTATACCAGTGAGGCATCAGACTTGGTTTGGTTCATGAAACAGTGTATTCGAGTCATAGCCTCTCTCGACTCTATATCACACTCTTCAATGGCGAACGGCTATTATCAAACACTACGTGATAATATTCTCTGTACCCTTGATGACCCTGCCGCAGAATGGATCGTCTCTCTTCCCAATGCTTCGTTTCATGATACGCGTGGTGCTCCTCAACCGTGTTCCAACCCACCCAAGCAATGAAACATCTATTGTGCCCATCTATCGGCTCGACAATGTATCCTCCTGCGACACCCATGCAGCCTTTCACATTAGGTACGATTGTTGCCCATAATTGCCATGCATAGTCCCATCGCCTATCGGTGTCAACGTAGATTGCAGTCCCTGTAAATGGTGCTCCTTTCCCCAGTGATTCGCATCTAGGCGTATACTCGACCAAGAAAGCGTGCCGTATGACAAGTTCGCCTTTAATTATTGGCTCAAACGTGTTCTTCAAGCTCACGTAGTCTGGGGAAGCCAGGAAGTCATAGTGCTGGTGAAGCCTCTCTCTTACTGTGTTTTCCAGTTGTTAACCTGATGGTGCCAGTGAACATTTTTGAGGGCATACCAATATGAAGATGTAGTATTTCTGAATTTTCTAGCCCACTCCCCCAGTATACCCGACATACATCTGAGCGTTTCTCCAGAGCATCAACAGCCCGTTTAAAGACAAGGCCGTCGTCGGAGCCATCGTTAACTGAGGCCCCAGATCGTAGTTGGAGTATTATCATTTGTGTACACGCCGTGGGGAAAGGTCCTGATGATGAGGCCATGTGCATCTCCATCTTGTACAGAGCGCTACTAGTTCAGTGTGCTGGTGAATGTGGTCTGATACTTATGAAGGCTCCTGAGACCTTTCAGTGCTTTGAGAGATATCTGTGTGCTTGATTATTCTGGCGAAATCTCGTAAGAGGTTTTGTTCAACGGCCCATTAGCGTGTTGAACTCCAACAGCATAAAGTCATGTCAGCCAGTAAGATCCATGCATGCCGCCTGACTCACGAGCTCTTGACATCGCCTGGCCCCCAGAAGAACCACCCCGCCCACCCTCTTCAATGTCATGGTGCACAAGCATGCTGACTCGGGGTGTTAAAGAGCCTAGCGGCGTGACTTCTATGCGGAGATGTGAGCATATGTACTTACTTTGTGAAAAGGTCTGGTAGAACTCCAGAAGACTATCTCGTCTAGCTTCATCTCTACTCAGTTCAGTCTACTCTTTGATGTTTGTGCCTTGAGAATGCCTGTGACTACATTCAAAGTAGTTGAGAAGTACGAATATCTCGAAGGCTTTGGGAACCATCAACAGTGAGTACTTCCCACTGGACCAGTGACATTTGTAGACTTCTAGTTTGAGCTGTTAAGGATTGACCGCCGTAGTGGCTAACGTGTCTACTCCCTAGGTCTGAGGCATTTGCGGGGGCAAGTCCAATTGCCTGCAGCAATCCCCAAAGGCCACCACTCGGGCTATTGACAGAACGAATATCAGGGGCCGCTTTCACAGCGCCTAGATCTCACTGTTTGCAGACATGGCTGTACCGGGCGACCTCTTCTCGCGAACACAGCGGCTTCAGACCCTACGGCCCTGAGTCCAGTAGCACAAGTGGTGGCAAATCACACCTCACTCCAGATGCACACCGATGGATGTCATTTCCTGTCCAACAGGGTCAAGACTGGACAGACGCTCGTGTCCTCGCACACTCGGGGGACGCTTCAATGAAGACTGGTCTAAAGATCTATATTTTCGCAATTACCAAGGACATGAAAAATGCCCAAGCATTCTCATCCCTTGACGGGGATATGTTGATCATCCCACAACAAGGTGCTTTGGACATACAGACGGAACTTGGGAATCTTCTAGTCCGACAAAATGAAATCGCCGTCATCCCCCGTGGCATCAGACACCGAGTGACATTGCCAACTGGTCAAGCACGAGGTTACATCTGCGAACTTTTCCAGGGACACTTCCGACTCCCTGAACTCGGTCCGATTGGTACATGCTCATTAGCCAACGTCCGCGACTTTCAAGTACCTGTTGCCGCGTTCGACGGGACACTCCAAGACGGAAGAGCTTGTGGGAACAATCGGGAGTGGCAAGTAGTATCCAGACTGGATGGACACCTCTTCAGTTGTACTCAAAACCATACTCCGTTTGACGTGGCAGCATGGAATGGCACATATTATCCGTATAAATACGATCTTGCTCGCTTTTGCGTGCTCGGCAGCGCTCTCTACGACCACCCGGATCCTAGTTTGTTCACTGTTTTGACGGCCCCATCGTATCGAGAGCCAGGAACTGGAGTGGTCGACTTTGCTATCATTCCTCCCCGGTGGAACGTGATGGAAAATACATATTGGCTGCCATATTATCATCGCAACACCATGACTGAAGTATCAGGCCCCATTATTTATAACCAGGACGAATGTTGTGTGTGGAACAAAGGTCTAGAGTTCCAGCCATACGCTGCGACAGTGGCCTCTGCGATGGCCTGTCATGGCGCTCCTGAGGATGCACACAAAAAAGCAGAAGAGCAAACGACAGCGCCCAAAAAGGTCAGCACGGAAGGCTTCACCGTATTTCTTCTCGAGACAGAATGTCCCTTGCGCGTGGCCGACTGGGCAATACAACAATTTGAAACCAATGGTGTGGCTACTGCGACCGTCCATGGAACCAAATCGAATCTTTAGCTTAGTACATGGCAAAAGATGAGGTGTTTGGGGTTTAAAGATATATTGTAGGCCATTGGCTGATTGACCAGTATATTGGCCACTCTGAAGTAATGAATGAATCACCTACCTCCAGCCTGATCATAAAATCTCTTCAATCTAAGGCCTCATGAGTCCTGTGTAGACAAGAAGCATGCCCAAAGCCCTTCGCAGTGATCATCTGCACTTAGAATATCCTAGGACCGTTTGTGTACTTTAGATGGTTTCTGCTTGGACGCTACCTAGATAGAGTAAACTATTTCTCCAACGCTTGTTGCCCTTAAGTGGTATGGGCCCGCCACTGGAACGACATCGGAAGAGGTTGCACCCCGTGGGGTAAGGAGAAGGGACTCAGGGAGGTTGACAATCAGCCGAGGCCCCCGTTGATAAAACTTGCAACCCCCGCCGTATAGGACCGTGGCTTTTCCTCCACAGATCTTTCCTAAACCTCGGAGATTGAGCTACATAAGAAAGACTTGTTGACTATTTCATGAGAAGCTCGTCACATCAGCTATGCTGTCTCAGGCTCCCACGGAATCGTCTCACGACACTGCACAATGCAAGCGAAATAGAAAGCGTGAAATGGATCGGATCTCTCAGCAAAGAAAGCGGAAGAGGGACCGGGAAAACATGCTAAAGATGGAGGAGCGTCTACGGTCTCTGCAGAAAGAAGGCCAGAACCCACTCCTTGCACAACTGATGAAACTTGCCGATGAAAACGAAGAGAGAAACATCAGGCACCGGAAAAGGCTGCAGCAGATCAAGGGACTAATCCAGGCGGATCTCGCGGATTTAGGCCATCGTGACAGCACAGCCGTGGTGGCAGGCCACAACGACACCCTTCAACCGCAATGTTCCATCACAGATGCCTCATCACACAGCGAACCAGACAGTTTGGATCACATGCTTGGTGAATGCACCGGAGAAACGATGATTCTTCCCTGCAATGATGATCTGAACATTGGTGGTCAAGCCCCCTCAATCGACGACTGTGGAGGGATTGCTCCCGAGGCCGACACGCTGCTATGGGACCAAGATGCACACACAATTGGGTCCGATCATCTCGACGAACTGATCATTGTACCAGGGCAGGATCCGTGCCAGAGTGGTCGGTCAAGGAAGCTATGGGACGAAGTCGAGCAGCTTCTCTCCCGAGCGCAACCAACTGGTGGAGGCGCGAGCGCAGACAACGAAGAAGTTGATATGCACATTATCATCAACGCCGTCTCCCGGGGCTGGTCGCAGTTCTCCCAAGTGGCCAATGTCGACACGCGGTGGAGCTGCCTTCGGAATCTTGATGAGAGATATTTCTCTCGTGGTTACGGTCAAGTTGAACGCCTGGCTGTCTTGACCATTGCCAGTCAGCTTCTTGATGGGAAGGTAAAGGATCTTTCCCTGTGCCTCAAGTATCGTGAATTTCTTTTTAACGGTGTCTTCTGGAGCAGAAGGTGAAAAGCAGTGCAACATCGAAACTTCTCCCCCAGTTCATCAAACCGAGGTGAGACACACGCCATCATCAGCCGCCCTCTACCGACCTTCAATCTTCACACGTACACATGCTAACACAATAATGTCGAATAGGCCCTCTCAAGAGGCCATTCCTCACTCACCCATTGCTGATTTCTACGTCTGGTATGTGCAATTGAACTATTTCCTGCCGAACCAACTCGATATGTTTTTCGTTAAAGGGCACAGCCCTCATAGTTGCTTACTAATCTGTGACAAGGCCCGGTTTCCGCGAACGACTCACCGTGTGTCCACAATATTCCAACGACACTTTTCTACACGCCATGTACTTCATGTTCCAGTTTCG